CTTTGTCAAGTTCTTACTTTCATTTATGTCTGTTACTATCTGTGCTATTGTAAGTTCTTATGGAATAATTTTCTATAAGGCATTTGTTGACAATTCAGTAGGATCTACATCTATTGTATTTGCTAGTGTTGTAGCAGTGATTGCCAGTTTCTTGACTTTTGTATTATTTGTTCACCTCTGCGTACAAATAGAGAATATAGTATATAATAGGACAACAGTAGAAAAGCTAGATTTGGAACATTATTTCCCAAATGAAGAAGGTTGTGTTGTAAATCCTTATGACTTTGGATTTAAATATAATACAGAGGATGTATTTGGTCCACTCTATTATGGAGGTTTATATATTCCATCAGGAAGTGGTGTTATATTTGATAAAAAATATGAGGCTTACTATTTCCCATTAGTTACAAATCGTATATACATTGATGAGAGTCTAAGATTTGATAGTCAGAACACCGAGATTCTTCTTTAATAAACTAATTTCCGATATGTTAAAAATTCTTATTAATTTTATTTTTTTATTAAAATCCACATGGTTGATGTAAAGTCTATTGTTCAAAGTATGAATTCATACAAAGACTTAGAAAAATATATTAATTTAAGTAGTGTTGATGTAATTATGAAAGTTGTGAAGGCTCACTCACTGGGACAGCGTATTTGTTATACATCTATACTGTTTTACTATGAGTTTAAAGTGTCACTAAAGGAAGAAACAGAAGAATTAATTGTAATATTTGCTTCTATATATTTGGGTGGTATATCTTCTGGAATACAGACTAATCAAAGCTCTATCTTGTCTCTTGTAAAGAAATTTTTGGAAATTGAAAATGATGAATTTGATGAAGAGAAATGCTTACAACAGGGAAATGAACTAATATTTAATTTAACTTATGAATTAGAATTCAATATAGGTCCACCCAAAACATATGATATATTTAAAAGTATTGTAGAAAAGTATAAGATTAATTCTAAAGATGCAACTGTATTTCAATCAATAATCAATGACTTTGCTCATTATACTATAGCAGTTTTTTTATTTACAGATGAAGAAATTGTTTATAGTGCGCTATATATATTTTGTATTATTAATCGATCATATGTCGATTCATCATTAACATATCAAATTGATGTCGATAAATTTATAGAACTATTTAAGTCTAAATTTAAAATAGAAAATTACTTATTTGATGGTATTTTGTTTCTATCTGACATACTATTAGATCATTATGAGAATAGTACATCTCAATGACTAATTATATTTATTAAAATTTCCTATATATTTTTTAATAATAATTATACTTTTTTAAAAATATTTCTAGAATTCACTTTAAAATGTTTTTATATAAAAGTATAATTTTAAATAAAAGAATTGTAAAAATGTCAATTATAAATATTTTGTTATAATTAAATTAATACTGTAATTAAAATTAAAATTCAAATATTTTAAATTTAATTGTAAATGAAGAATAGTTTAGTTGTTGGATGTGGAGGAACAGGGAGTGAAATTATTAAATTATTAAAGTTAATGAATGTTAATATTACTTGTATTGATTATGATAAAGTAGAATTAACTAATTTAAATAGACAGTTTTATTTCATTAAAAGTGACTGTAATAAATATAAAGCTGAAATTGTTGCTAAAAAAATTGGTTGTAATTATCGTAACGTGAATTTAATGGATATAAAAATTGATTATTTAAACCAATTTGATGTTATTTTTAGTTGTTTAGATTCAATTGGAGCAAGAATGGAATTAAATTACAGGTTTAAACAATCAAAATGTAAAAAACTAATTGATCTTGGTGTGGAGAATTTAACTTCTCATATAAAAATAATAACAGATGATAAAGCATGTCTCTACTGTATGAAAGATATTTTCAACATAAATGAACCTTATAATTCCTGTACTTTTATGAATATAAAAACAAAAATAGAGAAATTTAATAGAGAAAAATATTTAATATCATTAATTGCTTTAAAAGGAAATGATTTTAAAAAAATAGTAAAAGAATTCAATAACAAAGTAAGTGATGAAAAACTAAAAACAAATTTACTAGAAGTTGAAACAATTTTTCATAATATCACCCCAAATATCTCAACAATAAATAGTATAACAGCATCACTTGCTATTCATTTAAGCTTAAATGAAGATAAAAATGATCTGATTACTTTTTGGGGTAAAACTTTTACAATTTACAAAACATATTTAAATAAAGATGAAGATTGTTTTGTGTGTTTAAATAAAACTGATTGAAATCACTAATTTATTTTCTAGTCATAGAGTAGTGTTTCTTAAGCATTGAAATTAGATTACCAATGTATCTAGAAATTTCAGAAATACTTCTTGTATGTAAATAATAATCAAATATTGTTTCATCAAGTCCAAGTAATCGAGTTTTGATTTTATTCCAAACGTATGGATCATCAATATACTTTTGATAAAATCTACAAAGTAAAACATGATTAGAATAATATTTAGTACGACCCATCAATATGCTATCTAATTCTAGGTCAGTATATGAAGCAAGAATATTCTTAGTTATTTCATTGTCCTTCATTCTAATTTCATTTCTTACTAAAGCATCTTTAACTCTATTGGAATCCTCAAGCTCTTTAAATCTTTTAAAGAAAACGTCATAATATCTAGATGCATCTTCCTTATGAGGAAAGTTTTGTAATATTCCTTCTTTATTTTTACCATACATATCAACCAATAAAAGAAACTTTTTATAGTCTTTCTTAGTCCACATAAATGTTTGTTCAAGCAACTTCTTTTTTCTTTCTTGTTCTTCATCTGATAAAGCCGACCCCCTTTCATATAATTCTTTTTCTTTCTTTTGTAAAGTATAAAATTCTTTGGGACAAAATTGATAATCTGGAAATGAAAATTCTTTGAAAGAAAGATTGTTATGATAAAACAATCCCTGTCTTCTCCTTTTAGGAATCTCTTCTTCTGGTATTGTATTATCAGCAACAAACTTATCAACAACAAACTTATCAACAACTTGTGTATAATGATCTTTGATATCCCATTTATCAAAGTTTGTCTTAGCAGCTTCATAATCACCAATCTTAAACTCTTTAATCTTTTCTTCCATTTCAATAGTCTTTTCTTCACCCTTCTTAATGATTTCATCAATGGTTAAACGATTATTCATAGAAACCTTATCTAACTCTTCAATACCCTCAGCTAATATTTTCATCAAATCATTTTTAGAAACATTCATTGCTTTTCTTCGTTCTTCTGTCTTCATTAAAACTTGATCTAGTTTTAATTTTTGCTGAGCTTTTAAAACAATTGATTCTTCAACAGTATTTTCCGTAATTAATCGAAAAACTTGTACCTGCTTAGTCTGACCAATTCTGTGAGCCCTGTCTTGTGCCTGTAAATCAGCATATGGATTCCAATCAGAATCAAAAATTATAACCGTATCAGCAGAGTATAAATTTATACCTAAACCACCAGCCCTAGTCGTAAGAAGAAATATAAACTTTGATGATTCTGGATCATTAAAGTCTCTTATTGCTTCATTTCTAGTAGTTCCATCAACTGATCCATCAATCCTACAATATTCAAATTCTCTATAACTAACGTAATCTTCCAAAATATCTAACATTCTTGACATCTGTGAAAATATTAATACTTTATGTCCATCTTTCTTTAAGTTAACTAACATCTTATCTAAAATGATCATCTTACCACAGTTATCTATGATATGCTCACCTATTTCAAATGGTGGTTTTTCTGCCCCATCAAATAAGTATGGATGATTACAACACTTTCTTAACTGCATCACAATATTCAACAACCCCATTTTATTGGCTGATACTGACCCCGAAACTCTTGAAAGATCCCTCTGTAAAATACTTCTATACCAATCTACTTGCATTTCAGTTGGTTGAGCATAAATATTAGTTATTTTTTTAGGTAAAAGTGATTTTTCTACATCAATCTTTTCCCTTCTTAAAAAGAACACACTCAACAATTTTCTAATATTCTCTAATTTATCTCTACTGACACCTTTATCAACATCTGTAATAAATTTTTCAAACTTTTCAGCATCTGTAAATACGTCTGGTAAAATAAAACTCAAAAGAGACCACAGTTCATGAATATTATTTTGTAATGGTGTACCAGTCAACAGTAATTTATGAGAAAACTTTAACTTTTGTAAGTTTTGATATAAAATTGACTTTTCATTCTTTAAACGATGAGCCTCATCCATTATCAAATAATTAAAATTAATTTTCTTTAAAATTCGCTCAGCTGATAAACACATTTCATAAGTGGTTATAATAACATCATGATTACCTTTTAAGACTTCTTTGCCCATTTCATATATTTCCGTTTTAGAACACCAGAACATTATAACTTTAGCATCTGGCAGATACGTTTGAAACTCATTATACCAGTTCTGGAGAACCGATTTAGGCACTACAATTAAATGTTTATGACGTTCTTCTTTAATATTCTTGATATACCCTATGAGAGATATGGATTGTATAGTTTTTCCCAGACCCATTTCATCTGCTAATATACAATTTACTTTGTTTTCGTGCATCTTTATTAACCAATTAAGTCCCTCTATTTGGTATGGTCTTAATGTACCATTAATATACTTAGGGGAAGCATAAAACATATATGTTTCTGCCTGTTCTGTATTTGGCTCCACATCCTTAATCTTTGGCACAAATTCTTTTAGTATTTTAGTACTTCCAATGAGGTTAACATATTTTGAATATTTGTTTTTAGCCATGGGTAAAAATTATAAAATTTTATTAAAAAATTTATCAGTCTTATAAAATTTCCTAACAAGCTCTTTTATATAACAATTTTATTTTTACTTGATTATTTGTTTATAAATTTTTTATTAAAAATGTCTAAAATTGATTTAGCCTTTCTTTTACCCACTCCAAATGTCTCCATCAATTCGGTCTCTTTAGAATTCATTAGACTAATTAAATTAGTGTATTTGCTTCTTATTCTATTTACTTCTGATTGTGTTACCTTTGGAATGTCTAATAGAAATCTTTCTATTGAACTTTCTTTATTTCTTAATATTTCTGATGATCCCTCATTAGACTTTTCAAAATTCTTTATATACTCTGCACACTCTTCTTGATTTTTACATAGAATTATTGTTACATCCTGATGGTCATACAATGGTTTTATTACTGAATTATAGTTTGGTACATCAACATGGATCATTAATATTTTTATTCTATAACTTTTATTTAGCTTTAAAAGTCTTTTTAAAACATATTCTGGTTTTGTTACATGATATTTCAGGCTTAGAAAAAGTACTCCGATTGTTTTATTAATCTCGTAATCACATGTTATGTTATGATCATATTGCCAATTTCTTTGCTTCAAATATAATATTACTACATTTCCTTTCTGGACTGATGAAACTTTAATCATTTTGAGGGTTATTTATTATGTTTTCAGAAAATGAAAAACAATTTTAATGAAAATTATTTTTCATCAAAAGAATGTTATTTTTTAATTTTATTTGTTTATAAAAAATTTTTAAATAACTTTATTAATAAATGATTAAAAAAACTCATTATTAATTATTAAATTATTTATATCAAGTAATATTTTTTTTAAAAAATTTTATTGAAAAATTTAACGAATGTTAAAAGAATCACCATTTGAATTTAATTTTATTGATAACTTTTTAGAAGAAAAAGAATTTAATAAGCTATTAAATTATTATTATGGATGTGAATTTAAAGAGTATAAAAGTGATTTGTAT